AGACATCCCTTTGAAGTATAGCAGCCAAGTCTCCATTGGGCCCTTCATGTTGCACCTTCTTCGACTTTCCCTACCTAAATTCATAAAAGAATGGACTTTGTTTCACTCCCTTTTTCATTCCAATTACTATTCCAGAATATGCTAATTCCCTGCACCATTAAGAATAAATATTTTTAAAAATTAAATACATTTTCTACAAACACGATAATATTATAACACTTTCAGCAATTAACTCTTGAAAGTTGAATCTGTTCCTCATCTATGTCATTTAAAATCAAGTTTATTTTCTCCTCATTAACACCATTAACAACATGATGCAGATACTACATAGTTTACAAAACTGCTAGATAGTTTCATGAAATGCCTCATAAATTCACTAATAGGACAAGTAAACTGCAATTTTCACAAACCATTTGCCCCATAGTTTGCTCAAGTAGGCTCAACAACGAGATTACGTGACAATATAAAGGGAATAAAAATGACTTGCGTCAAGACACAAGAAGGTTATAAATAGAAACCACAAGGGCTTACCTTGGCGAGGCCATTTCATAAAAGTAATAGAGTGGCAAGTTGGCAAAGAAGAGCCAAGTAGTGTCACTACCAAAGAAGTATCAAGTGTGCTCTTGCATTGAATATCACAGAAGTTAATTAGTCAAAACAATAGGAACAAAAATGCATCCATGTAAAAGATATAATCTGAAAGTTATAAAATCAAGAGTAGCACCATGTACTAAAAGCTCACCAAGAGTTCCAAAAGAAAAATGAAAAAGGACATTTTGACCATAGATCCCACCATTACAATCAAACTGATTTGGCATTGAACATAAGACATGGGTTGCCGTTTCATAAAGTGATATAATAAGTATTTTGTCTCCAAGAATTAGAGGAAAAAGGCTAATACACTAATTTCCATAAGTTTAATACTAAACAAAGTCAAAGATGATATTCAGAATTAAAACTTGAAACGGAATAAAATTGGAAATCAGAATTGAATTTGATGACTAATAAATCCAAACAGCATTCCAGATTTAACTGAAATTTAACAGGCACTCCTTTAAACGTGTTAGAGGATCCCAAATACCCATATTTTGATCGTCGCATAACTTGATTCACTTAATACGCTATGAGTCTACACTAATTTCAGCTAGCAAATTATGGATCCTAATTCTCTTTTCAACATCATATTGAGTAGATCAACCATATAAAAATTCAACATTAATCTAAATAGTGCACAAAATTGAGGTTTAACGCCTTATCAAACCAGAAATCAAAAGGAATTTTCACTTCAGGCATTGTTGCACATTTCGAGCCATCACTTGATACAACACTATACCTTAAGCTACAAATGAAACAAATAACCCAGTCAATCTCAATTACATAACTCAAAAACCTTTGCTTGACAAATATTCAATGTCACCACCTGACAAATCGAATCACAAGAAACCTCGATTGAGGAACAATGATCCCGTAAAGACACTAGAAGAGTTTAAAATTGAACCCTTGAACTTCAATAGAGCAGATCCTCTTGTATCAGAACCCCAAACAGTGTGTTGTTAAACCTAAAACAATACTGAAATGAAAATTAATAACTTCAACAGCTTGTGCAAACGGAATAAAAAAACTTACCAAAGATCCTCGCTTCCTTTTAAAAAAGAAGCAATGAACGAGATCCCAAAATCAAAAGAAAATAGAAACTTACTTGACATAGACTTTGCTGTTGTGGTTACGGCAAATGGGAATTCTAATGGAACGAAAGGGAGCTACGGCCTTTTCTACGAAGGAGAGGGAAGGAATAAAATTAGGGTTATCTCGACTCTGACAAGCCCTCATTACGCTGTAAAACCTATCTCCACATAGGAAAAGGAAAAGGGAAAGGAAGGAGGTTAAAATGTTGAATCGTGTGGGAGAAGTGAGCCATTAAAGCACTTGTTGAAAAGATATTTTGTGTATTGAAAGAAACTGGTTAGTGAACAGTAATTATCTAGTTAAAGTGTGAAAAGGAAGGCAGAAAAATGAACGGTAAAAAGCTCATTGCCTCTTTTTATTAAGTGCATACATATTTAGATGCATTTAATTTTTTTAAATTAAAATTAATAAAAAATGTACTACAAATAAAAGTTTTTTTTTTTTTTGTAAACTTATGTATTTTTGTTCATTTTCAGGCTCATTACGGGATATCAAACGAAATTCAAATATTACATTCTTAATATCATTTTGAAGTACACGCAGCATAGTATTGTACGTCATTAACGGTATGTGAAATGACTAATCGTAGCAAATGTTATGGGACGTCAAAATAGGCATTTTCAAATTATATTTCGAAATTTTTGATAATAAGCTAAACTTAAAAATTTATTGACGATTGTATGATAGTTGAATCGATAAATGTTTTACATTCTCTCGAAACTCATTTCAAGAACTATATCATAAACACATCGAATGATCTAAATAAATATCGAAAATAGTTAAATGGATATTAAACGTATTTGTTAAAAAATGCGTATAAGTCGTTTTTCTTAAAAAAAATAATTATTTTATTACTATTTATTATTTTTTCGCAACAATTCTCAATACATCATTTTGCTAAAAAAAAATTATTTGGTATGACGTAAATTTTTTTCTCCATGCACGGAGTGAATATGTATTTTTTTTTTTTTTTACATTTTATTTACAATAATTTTGTTTATTAATATAATTTTAAAAATTTAAATATATAAGATATGGTTGATAGTTAATAGCGTGAGAATTAGGGGAAAGAGCATGATGTGTTACATTCAAAGCAAAAAAGAAATATTGCAGTGGACAATGGCGTGTGACAAAATTTTACAGTATTTTTGAATAGAATTTTTTCTGTTGTCAAACCAATTCCCAAATCGATTAAGTGATTTAAAAGTAAAAGAAGATATTACACTATTTAAAAGATAAAAAATTATTTATAAGTAAAAAAAATCACTTCAAGTTATTTAAAATAAAAAAAACATATAATTGTAAAAGCTACTTATAGGTAAAACAAAAAAAAATATTAATCCCTCATTCTCTTATAATTGCAAAAGCTACTTATATAAAAAAAAAAAATGTGAACTTAAAATTTTTTTAGTATAAATATTTAGATATATTTAGTTTTTAAAATTAAATATTAATAAAAAGATTAAACTATCTAGTACGTAAAAAGTTACTTATAAGTAATAAAATCACTTCAAGTTATTTAAAAGTAATAAAAATTATAATTGTAAAAGTTACTTATAGGTAAAAAATATTAACTTCAACATTTTTAAGTAAATATTTAGATACATTTAATTTTTTTAATTAAATATTAATAAAAAATGTACTACAAATAAAACTAAAAAAAAAAATGCACATTGGTGCGGGGACTCCCCGCACGCATAAATTTCTTTTTTTTTTAACTTATGTTTTTGTGTTCATTTCCAGGCTTATTACAGGATATCAAATGAAATCGAAATATTACATTCTTAATATCATTTTGAAGTACTCGTGGCATAGTATTGCACGTCGTTAACGGTACGTGAAACGGCTAATCGTAGCAAATGTTACGGGAAGTCAAAATAGGTATTTTCAAACTATATTTCGAAATTTTCGATAATAAGCTAACTGTAAAAAATCATTGACGATTGTACGATAGTCGAATCGATAAATGTTTTACATTCTCTCGAAACTCATTTCAAGAACTATATCATAGACACATCGAATGATCTAAATGAATATCGAAAATAGTTAAACGAACATTAAATTTATGTGTTAAAAAATGCGTATAAGTCGTTTTTTTTAAAAAATTAATTATTTTATTTCTATTTATTATTTTTCTGCAACAATTTTCTCAATACATCATTTTGCTCAAAAAAAATTATGTGATATGACGTAAATTTTTTTTTATGCACGGAGTGAATATTTTTTTTTTACTATAATTTTTTTTATCAATATAATTTTAAAAGTTAAATATATAAGATATGATTGATAGTTAATAGCGTGAGAATTTATATATATATATATATATATCCCTCATTCTCTTATAATTGCAAAAGCTACTTATATAAAAAAAAATGTGAACTTAAAATTTTTTTAGTATAAATATTTAGATATATTTAGTTTTTAAAATTAAATATTAATAAAAAGATTAAACTATCTAGAACGTAAAAAGTTACTTATTAGTAAACAAATTACTTCAAGTTAATTAAAAGTAATACAAAAATTATAATTGTAAAAATTACTTATAGATAAAAAATATTAACTCCAACATTTTTAATTAAATATTTAAATATATTTAATTTTTTAATTAAATATTAATAAAAAATGTATTTCATTTTCAGACTTATTATGGGATATCAAACGAAATCGAAATATTACATTCTTAATATCATTTTGAAGTGCTCGCGGCATAGTATTGCACGTCGTTAATGGTGTATGAAACGGTTAATCGTAGCAAATATTACGGGACGTCAAAATATGCATTTTTAAACTATATTTCAAAATTTTCGATAATAAGCCAACTTTAAAAATTTATTAACGATTGTACGATAGTCGAATCGATAAATATTTTACATTCTCTCGAAACTCATTTCAAGAACTATTTCATAGACACATCAAATGATCTAAATGAATATCGAAAACAATTAAACAGACGTTAAACGTATGTGTTAAAAAATGCGTATAAGTTATTTTTCTTAAAAAAATTAATTATTTTATTACTATTTATTATTTTTTCACAATAATTTTCTCAATATATCATTTTGCTCAAAAAATTATGTGGTCTGACGTAAATTTTTTTCTTCATGCATGGAGTGAATATGTTTTTTTTTTATTTACAATAATTTTATATAAAATATGATTGATAATTAATAGCGTGAGCATTAGGAAAAAGAGTCTTACAATATTGTTGAATAGAATTTTTTCTATTGTCAAACTAAATGTGAAAACGAGTTTGACAAAAATGAAAACTAAACCCACGTTCCCTATTTTATATTATATGTAGCGTAGAAATCCAACCCAGAATTTGGATCGGAACGGCTTGACCCAGGTAAACCGGCGAGCAGGCTTTCAATTCGGAACCGTTTATCAATCAAATAATTAAACGACGTAGCTTTGAACACCTGAATCCCAACCCCTCCGATTCGTAATATCAAGGATGGCCGAAGAAGGCGGAGGGAAAAGCAGAGGCGTCGCGACGGCAATCGCCGAGCAGCCTCCGCCTAATTATTATTACGGGACCTTCCAAGGCGTGGCAAATTATCAGCCTCAACCTGCTGTCTCTCCTCCTCCAACGTCTCACCATGTCATCGGTTTCCCTCAGCCCATGCCTCCTGCCGGCCTCTCCGGTGCTCCGCCTCATTACTATCCTCACGGATATCAAACTGTTCCTGGTACTGTTGATTGGATTCGAAACTTTTATTATGATATCTTGATGTACATACCGATGATGATTTAGAATATCTTGGTTGAATTTTAACTTTTTGTTGCAATGAATCTAACCGAAAGGAAATAAAAGATTCATGTAACAGGCCAATGTTTATTCTGCAACTTGTTATTAGTTGGATTATAATTTTTTTGTTCTGTTGATGTATTTAATGTTTATGAAAGAAGTACCTGGGAAAGTTGATATATTGATTCGTTGCATCAGGAAAAGACAAATCCCTACTTTGTTCTTTTAGTTGATACATAATACATTGATTAGTTGCATCAGGAAAAGATAAATCCATTTTAAATCAAACCAACCCAACCCAATTAAATATTGGAACCCAACCCAACCTATCCCAATCAAGTCTCGGTCGGGTTGATCGGTTTGCACAAAGTGTAATAAAATATACTCAAATAAAACCGATACATCATCCAAATAAGATTAATATTTAATAGGGGTACAACCATCCGAATAAATATTCACCCAACTACAACATACAGTTACCAATGTCAATAAACTTCAAAATTACTACAGACAGTAAACTTTTTACAGTTGCATAAACAAAAAAAAAGAAAAAAGAAAAAAAAAAGATCCTTTAGAAGCTTTGCATCTCAAAAGGGCTATCATCCATTGTAAATATTGCCGTGAAGAAGAAATGCCTGCAAGGGAACGCAACAAAACAAGAGAAATAGGAATGATGCATAATATCTAGTGGCAATTCCTCCTAATCAATTACAGGAGTAGATTCTGAATGTCAAGAGAAAGTAACCTAATCCATCTAAAACCAATCACATCTATAGAGCATTGAACTGTGGACATGGACAAATAGCTTAAGCTAATAATGCATGTGTGTGTGAACGTAAAAGTATGCAGTGAATGCCTTAATGGTATATTTGATCTTCATATTTTACAGGCATACATTGCTAAGTGGCCGATCGATTGCATGATGAAGATCTTTACCAGAGAATGAATGATACAAAAATAAAAGGTAGTATGCTAAAATAAAGCCCAGAAGCCACAAAAGTCTAGTAAATACACTCCATCTTTACAGGTGAAAGTCCAGTAATAAAGTTTGGTTTGCCCGTAAATAAAATACAAATAAAGTTGGGTTAAGGATAATGTGTAGCCATCTTTACAGGTGAAAGTAAGATTGTGCATCTTTCTTATGGAAAGTTTAATGTTAAACTAGATAGAAATATGTAAAAATGATGAAAGGCAATTGGAATTTACGGCGGGATTGATAATTTTCGATTATATATGTTGGGATGAATTTTTGAAAAGCTCGAATGATCAGGGACTGATTGCATAAATTTTCTAACAAGAAAGAGGATCTGGACCCTTGCCAACCAAACAGAAAAAGAAGTTAAATGCTATCTTTTGCACTTAAATTTAAATCTTACTTGTATTTTTGAGTTACAATTAAATCTTACTTCTTATCAAAATGGGTTTGAAGTACACTGTAATATATACGTATAAATCCTCTGAATGAAATGTCAAAGGTAGGAAATTGAAATAAACATAAAAAGAAAGTCGGTTATTGACCTTTGTTGAGTAACCAGTAACTGAAAAACGTAGCTCTTCGGCGATTTTGAGAGAAAATGACAGGAGATACCGAGAGAGATAAGGGCTTCGTGTCGGGTCTTGCGGCTGTGAAGAAGTAAAGTGAAATTTTAGGGTTTCTTTTCCTTTTATAGTATGTCATTTTTTTCACTTAATTTTTGTGGGTTGGGTCGGTTTGGGTTCTGGTTCTTTCGGGTTTTTTGGTTTAACCCGCCACCCGACCCAAACTGACCCAACATCATAACCCATTACCCGAAACCCGCTCAAAAACATAAAAAAACCGACCCAAACCAGTCGGCTTGGGCGGTTTTCGTGGGTTGGCTTGGGTTTTGCCCACCCCTAGTTATTCCACACACGACGGATGGCGCTATTGGCTTTGTCAGGTGCTGTCATTGGTGATTTCACTTTATTACAAGTTCTATATAGTTTGCTAAGAAGGAATCTTGCCTGGAAATTCACTGAATCACATGATCAAAATCTTCAGTTTAACTTGACTGTAAGAAGACGAGGGTATGGTGTTTATGGCATGCTTTTTTTTTTTTTTTTTTTTTTCTTTTACCCGAATTACCACTCAAAGTTGAGGAAAATGAGAACGATCATTTTGGACAAGTTTGTATGGATTCTAACCTTTTGACATTGGTTTTTTTCCTTGTGCTTTATTGGTTTTGTATTTGTCCTTGGTCACCTACTAACACCGCAACATAGTTTTGAAGTTCATGCTGTGCATCGATGTTTTTGGCGATGCATGTGAAAATCATTCTACTACTCCTCAAATATGCATGTTATCAGACATCCTGGAAAGCTAATATTGTTCATAGATGCAATGTTCCATATGCACTTCTTTAGAGGACTACTATTTTATGTTTTGTATTATCTTTTAACTCCTTTTCCGTTCTTGCTATTCTAGGTTATGCTGTTGCTGAAGGGCAACCCTTTAGAGAGCATCGGCTTCCTTGTTGTGGTATTGGGATTGGATGGTTCTTGTAAGTTCTTATTCTCACTTCTACAGTCTATTGATCAATGATTTTTCTCTCTTTAATTGAGGATAACCCATTTTAGTGAACTCTTCAAATAGTTATAGATATTCCACTCTATGAGCTGTTTGCTGGATTAGCAATTTTCCCCTTTCAAAGTAGTTCAATTATTTATGCTTCTGTTGTGTAGTCAAATTTTCTATATTTTTTCACGGTTTATGAATATCAACTGGCACCAAGGTACCAGTTCAAATGCTGTAAAGGGAAAATAGCCATAGCTCTGATTGAGAAAATAATGATTCAAAAAACTCAATCTATTGTTAAGAAATGTGGTTGATTACTAGGAAGTGCTGCAAATTGGAGGCGAGGCAATTTGCCAAGTTCTTAATATTTGGTTGTTACAAGTTTTTACCTTTACTGCAAATTTACTGTCTCTTTAATGCTGAATTTAGAGTAAAAATTTGTCAGGGCTATCTAATGATTATATAGTTTATATTATTGCATGCATAATTTGTTAATCTCTTCTAAATGTGCGTTATTGACTGATTTTATTTGAATTTGTTTTCAAGGTTCATAATTGGTTTCATTCTTGGTGCTATACCATGGTACATTGGAGCTTTTATACTGTTATGTGTGAGGGTGGATTATAGAGAAAAACCTGGACTTATTGCATGCACTCTTGCTGTAAGTGTTCACCATTTAACATTTGATTTCTTGTTCTGAAGTGTGAACTACTTTAAGGATTACTACTGCTTATTTGCTGAGGATTATAAATGGATTATTTTAGCACAATCTTCTGAACTTTTTCATGACGACTGCACTTCCTTCTTCAAAGTTACTTTTCTTAATTGTGTTGCTTTGTACACATTGGACCTATCATCAAAAACTAGAGATGCATGAGTATAATTTCTTTCATTAAGAAATGTCACATAGATTAAAGTGCAGAAAAGAACTGACTGGATGGTGAAGAGAGATGCTTATTTCATAAAAATTAGTAATGACAATAGTGGGTTCCCACTCCATCTACCCTTGAAGGTTAAGTTATGTTAGACACCTAGTATACTTAGAGCATTTCAAAGAAACTCTTTAAACATAAGATTTTATCTATTTTAAAGAGTCAATCTTTAAAATTTTGCTCCAAAAAACTATTGACATTTGAAAATAGAGTGTGAGTTTGATCCTTCAAATTTGGAGAGCCAAAGTCGCTCTTTCTAATTAAATGCACTCAAATTATTTTAATTTTCAATGTAGAAAAATAGGTTAATAATTTGGAGAGAAGCCAGTAAGAACAAAAGATAGAGAAAAATAATAAATATTTTTTAGGAGTCGTAAAAGTAATTGATAGAAATAAAGAGCCTCTTGGAACACTTAAAATTTGTTGCCCTCTAAATTTATAGGTGCTCTTTAAATTGCTAAATACGCTCTTTGAAAATAAAAAGTATCTCCAAAATTTTGCCTAATTTTTATGTTAAGATACTATCAGAAATTGTTTTGGGTGTTGAAGCCACCAACGTAGTGGTCACATGTTAATTATAAGTGATTATTTAATTGATTTTAAAGATAAGAAGGGAATATAGATGATGTAAAAGATGTAAATGAAGAATTGGTTTCTCCACGAGAGAATAGAAAGTTGGGAATTGACCAAGACTTGGTTTCACGGCACGGGGTGCCTTTCTTCTTGGCACAGAAAGAGACACCGTGCGGTAGTAGTCTGCTCCGCTAGACTACCTTCCGCCTTTTCTCGGTTGTGTCGAGACGAAAGAAAATTTGATTACAATTTTGTAGAAAGTTTACAATAGAGAATTTGAATACATTGAAAGTAAATTGAACATTGATTGATGAAAACTGAATATTACAGTTGATGAAAGCAGAAAATTACAATTGTTGGTGCAAGGGGCGGATATCAGTGAGTTTGAAAGATTTTTGAATGACTAATACCCCTTATAATAGCATTCTGAACAAAAACCTAAGTGATAGGAGTAGACGTTTAAAAGACGAGGAATCATACTAAACGTTTACCAATATCAGAGTTATTTTACAACTGAAATAACTATTACAATGAAAAGAAAATTACAACTCAAACTTGAAGTAATATTTACAATGTGCGGTCGAAATTGGGCAAACTGCGGCTGCGATAGTGTCAAGGGGCTAAGTAAAGTTGCGGTCCTTGACATTCTCCCCCATTTGTTTTGGCGACGTTCTCGGTGCCATCAATGCATGATATGTTTCAATTAATGGTTTGAAGGCTCCGAAATCTTTTTCTCTTTCCCAAGTATTCTCCTCGCTGCTGCATCCCATCCATTTGACCAAGTACTCATGATGATCTTTTCTAGAAGCTCGAGTGATTCGATGGTCAAGAATAGCTTCAGCAACCTTCTTTCAAGCTTTCTTCAGTTCAAATACAGGTCACTTTGGCTCATTTCTAGATGCATCCTCCTTATACGCAAAGTATGGCTTCAACACACTAACATGAAGGATCTTGTGGACTTTACACCATGAAGGGAGTTCAACTCTTAATGCAACTCTTCCAATCCTCTTCACGATGGGTAATGGTCCAATGTATTTTGGCAACAATCTTAAGTCCTTCCCTCTTGTTGGTTTGTAAACATTTCTGTCGGGAAGTTTAACCATTACCAGATCTTCAACATCGAATTCAATGAAATGACGCTTTAGATCTGCAGTCTTTTTATACCTTTTTGAGCTTTCTCAAGATAACTCCGAGCAATTTCAATATTTCGTTTTCACTCTTGAGAAAAGTTCTTTGCTTGAGGGGATTTGGTACTTCGTTCAATATCCACTGTATGAGGGAATAACGGTTGCTGGCCAGTAACAATCTCAAAATGACTCTTATTGGTAGAAGAGCTCTTTTGGGCATTAAAGCAAATTTGGGCCACATCCAAAAGCTTTACCCAATTTTTCTGCGAAATAGAGATAAAGTGCCGAAAATATTCCTCTAGCATAGAATTGAAGCGATCCGTCTGTCCGTCAGATTGTGGGTGAAAACTAGAACTCATGTTCAAAGTTGAACCAAGAAGTTTGAACAACTCAGTCCAACATATGCCAGTGAAATGAGGATTTCGATCACTGACGATGTCTTTAGGCAGCCCCAAGTATTTGACAATATGTTTGAAGAAGAGTTGAACTGTCTCTTCTGTAGATACATACTTAGGTGCTGCAATGAAAGTTGCATATTTTGATAGACGGTCCACCACGACAATGATATTGCCAAAATCCTCAACTTTTGGCAACCCAATAATGTAGTCCATCGATACACTTTCGAATGGCCGGGTTGGGACGAAAAGGGGCTCCAGCAAGCCCGCCTTTTTCTGATGATCTGTCTTATTTTGCTGACAAATAAGACAGGTTTTTACATATGTTGCAATGTCGTCCCGCATTTGAGGCCAGTAGTATGCACATTGCAGTAGTGCACAAATGCGTTCCTCTTCGGGATGCCCTGCCCAAATTGTGTCATGGCATCCTGTAATTAGTGATTTCCTCAGATCTCCGCCCTTAGGAACATATAGGCGACTCCCTTTGTCTTCACTAGTTCCCCATCGAGCCAGAATTGTTGAGTTTTACCCTGCTTGATGAGGTCAACCAAATATTGGGTAGTCGGGTCCTTCTCCATAAGTGCCCGAATTTGGTCTCTAGTGTTCGTGGAGACTGCGCTCCCTGAAAGAGCAGCTACGGAGCAGATGGCAGCTAAATTGGTCCGTCGACTAAGAGCATCAGCAACATGATTACTAGAGCCGGGACAATATCCTAACATAAAATTGAACTCTGAAAGGAATTCCTACCAACAAGCCTGTTTGTTCGATAGTTTTGGTTGGGACATGAAGTGACTAACTACAGTGTTATCTGTCTTCACAATAAATGGAGACTCAAGCAGATAGTGACGCCATCCTCTGAGACAATGGACTACTGTCAACAATTCCTTTTCATGTGTCGAGTAACGACGTTCTGTCTGGTTTAACGTTCGGCTCTCATATGCTACCGGATGTCCTTCTTACATGAGGACTCCACCAAGTGCAAAATCTGAATCATCTGTATGAATTTCAAATGGCTTAGCCATATCCGATAAAGCTAAAATCGGGTTCGTCCACATGAACTTCTTCAACCTTTTAAAATCAGCTTGGCATTGGGATGACCAATCCCAATCGTTATCCTTCTTTGTCAATTCAGTAAGTGGCAGTGCAATTTTTGAGTAGCCTTTCACAAATCTTCGATAGTAATTGCATAACCCAAAAAATGAACGTACATCATGTACAGTTTTTGGTGGTTGCCAATCTTTGATGGCTGTAACCTTCTTCGAATCCATGCGGATTTTTTCTTGTTCAATGATATGACCCAAGACACTGATAGATGTCTGAGCAAATGAGCATTTAGACGGCTTAGCATAAAGTTCATTCTCCCGTAGCCGATTAAAAACTTGCCTCACATGCTGGACATGTTCCTCCAATGTCTTGCTGTAGATTACTATGTCATCCAAGTACACCACGACAAAATCATCTAAGAACCCGTGAAGTACCTGATTCATCATAGTGCAAAATGTTTCTGGAGCGTTTGTCAAACCAAAAGGCATCACTTTAAATTCAAAGGTTCCATATCTGGTTACCACCGTAGTCTTTGCTTCGTCTCCCTCCTTGATCCGAACTTGTCAGTATCTGGACCTAAGATCAATTTTCGTGTAATACTTCGCCCGACTCAGTCGATCGAAGCAATCCGCAACCAGTGGGATAAGATAGCTATTCTTTACAGTAATCTTGTTCAAGGCTCGATAGTCGCAGCATATTCTAAGAGAACCATCGGCCTTTTTCTGAAATAATACAGGAGCTCTGTATGGCAACTTCGCAGGTACAATGATTCCACTCTCCAACATTTTTCCCAATTGCTTCCTAAGCTCTTCAAGCTCAGGCTGAGACATACGGTATGGTGGCCTGACGGGAGGTTTGGCTCCTGGAATAAGTTCAGTCTCATGATCAATTGTCCTTCTTGGTGGTAATTCTTTCGGCATGATGTCTTCAAATTCCTGAATAAGCCTTTTAACGAGTTTTGGAATAAGACCATTCGCCTCTTCGATCTCCTCTAATTGAAGAGTGCACAAAAAAGAGGTTCATTTCTCTTGAAACCCTTACTAAATTGCATGGCTGAGATACTCTTCTCGCCCATCCTCCCAACCTGTGTAGGGATGACACACGGCTTATTACCCATCATCATTAACGAATCAGAATATGACAACTGTTGGATTTTATGCGCAATATTAAAGAGATGAAAACGAAAATTAACACAAAAATTTTACGTAGTTCAGCGATGTGCCTACGTCCACGAGAGCGAAGCGGAGATTTCTTTATTCAGTTGGTAAAAATAGGGTTACAAGATATTATTTATACTAACCCTAGTCTGGGCCCATATAAGACTTTAAGGCCCGTACAGAAAATACCCATGCATCGGCCCATTTGATCCAGGAGCTGTGTTCCACTCTATATGAGCCACATGCACAACAGCAACACTGCTGTCTTAGTATCTCGAAGAAATTTCAATCCCAGAATAAGCTTGAAATCATCCATCTGAACTGTAGATAAATTTGTCCTTCCCTCGAAAGGACCTGCTTTGATCAACACCAATTTTGCCACTCCAGCTATTGGTTGAGCAGCAGAGCTGATTGCTTTGACTTTTCCACTACCCTTTTCTAGAAGAAGTTCGAACCGCTCTACTTCGGTACATGCAAGGTAGTTGTGGGTAGCACCAGTATCCATCATAGCCCTGATTGGCTTCCCATTGATTTTTACATTAATGTACATTAAGCCTTTGACCCTACAAATTCGAGCCTTCGCTTCTTCCATCTTTGCCTCTTTCAATGAGACATCATCCTTTTCAACAACTCGATGCGATAGTGTGTTGCACCAATATGAAAATGCCCCAACTATGTCCTCGTCCTCTTCAGAGTCAGTCTCACTATGACAATTAGTCTGCGGGGCCTCTTGCTTTGAACTTGACCCGCCACTTGCTAACTGACAATATGCATTTACCATCCGCTTTTGAGGACACTCCGACACCCGATGCGGTCATTCACATAAAAAGCACTTCAATTTGAGAGTGGCATCAGTTCGGCCCTCCATTGCTTTTCCTTTGTTCCAGTAGTTACTGTTGCCGCCGTTAAAATTTCCTTGACGGCTATTATGATAGTTTCCCTGAAAGCCACGGGTGCTTTGATAGGCTCCTTCTCTATTATGAGAGTAACGCTCTCCCGCATTTGGGTCTGTAAGATTTGTTACCACCTCCAATTGCTTGATTACTCCTCGAAGGTCGATTTTTTCTAGATTCTGTTTGGTAGTCGCTCAAGCATTCAGCGGCTCCCATGGCCATGCTCAAATTAGCAACCTTCTGTCTTTGAAGTCCCGTGCGTGTCCACGATTTCAACCCTTCCATAAAGGTGAAGAGCTTATCCTTTTCCGACATATCTCGAATATTCAGCATATGCCCTGAGAAGGATTTCACATACTCCCTGATAGAGCTCGTGTGTTTCAGGTCTCGAAGTGCCCGTCGAGCCTGATACTCGACATTTTTCGGGAAAAACTGCGATCTAATCGCTTCCTTGAGGAGATCCCAAGAATCTATTCAAACTCCGTGGGCCTGAATGTCAGCATATTTGGTTCTCCACCATAGTTTTGCATCTCCACCCAGATACATGGTAGCCGTGGTTACGATTCTAGCTTTGTCTTCGATCGAAACTGCGAGAAAGTACTGTTCCATATCAAACAAGAAGTTTTCGACTTCTTTTACATCACGTGCTCCTCCGTAGGTACACGGTTCAGGAATTCTGAGTCTAGGAGCATACTCAGGTACGGGAGCTTGCCCATTGCCCACCACACGTTGGAGTACCCGCAATTGAGCTCTCAACGCTTCCATTTCATCCTGCAAATCAAGAATGATTGCAGCAGCTTCAGTCATTGCTGCGCAAGCCCTTTGGCTTTCATCCAGTTGGAAGTGTAATCTACGAATCTCGGATTCGGTCATCTCGACTTTTTCCTCGAGACCTTCCAAAGCATAGCACAACCTAGTAGTTGTCTCATCAAGCGCATCCACGCGCTGTTTAGTAGTACCTTTCTTTTGAGGCTTTACCATTTCAGTGGTGTGGGATGTAATTGGATCCATAACTTTCTT